GGATATCGAAAAGGCTCGTGCTCCTTCTGACGAAGGCAGCCAGTCCAAACTCCCCCACGACACCGCCTCGCAAGAACACCAGCACCAACCTGACATTGAGCACCCCACTCCCAAAGTCGAGCAGCACCCGATCGAAGGAGCCTGGATCTTGCCCCGCAACCTCTGGATCATAGCGCGCTACAAGACGCTCCCCTTCATTGTCAAGCTCTTCACCCACGGTACAACTGTTGACGTGCATGCATTACAGTCGCACGAAAAGGAGACTGGTGAGGGAAGCCGGATGCGCGACATGCATGCGCGCGCCAAACAGTATGATAACAAGGTTGAGCACTTGTATTCGTTCGTACAAGTTATGACGGCGTGCACGGCTAGTTTTGCGCATGGGTCGAATGATGTGGCGAATGCTATCGGACCCTACTCGGCCATTTACGCGGTGTGGAGTACTGGAAAGGTCGTTGGAAAGGAGAGCCAGGTTCCCGTCTGGATTTTGGTGTTTGGTGGTGCCTGGATCGTCATTGGCTTGTCGACTTGTGAGTAGGCTGTTGTAGGAGAGGAAGAGATGCTGATGGTTTGGTTAGATGGCTATAATATCATGCGTGTGTTGGGCAACCGACTTACCCTCCAGTCGCCTTCTCGTGGATATTCTATGGAATTGGGATCGGCTATTACTGTCATTCTCGCTTCTCAGTATGGTATTCCTGTCTCGACTACCATGTGCATCACCGGTGCCACTCTGGGTGTTGGCTTGTGCAATGGCGATCGTACGTATTCTCGTCTTTGGTACATTTAGGGTTGGTATTGACGACTTTTGATAGTCCGCGCGTTCAACTGGAAGGGATTGGGATGGATCGTACTTGGATGGGTCTTGACCGTTCCCATTGCTGGTGTAGCAGCCGGTTGCCTCATGTGAGTCCTTCCCTGCGCTTTTGTGACAAGTGGTATTGATGTCGGTTTAGGGGTATCCTCCTCAATGCGCCGAGCTTCTAAAATGCGTCTTGTGTACTCGTTCCGTCTGATTTTTGCTTAAATACATGGTAATTGTCGAATTGGATAGACCATACCTTTGTATGTACGTCTCATGGATTGTCAATGTACCCCGCTTGTTTTCTCCATGCGTAAACCACCTCTGAGAAATATGTG